AGCAATCCTCCTGCCTCAGCCTCCCGAGTGCTGGGATTACAGGCGTGAGCCACCACGCCCGGCAATCTTTTTTTTCTTTTTTTTTTTTAATTTTTAAATCTCGAGACAGGGTATCACTAAATTGCTGAGTTGCACAGGCTGGACTCTAACTTTCAGTCCTCCTTCCTCAGCCTCTCAGAGTACTGAGGTTACAGGTGTGCGCCATCATGCCCAGCATATGTAATGTTTTACAGTATCAATTATCATACTCTGGTTAGACATTTAAATTGTTTGTTTTGTGATTATAAAGCTTAATATACATTTTCGTGCCTGCTGATTTTTCTGAATCTCAGGTCTTGTTTCCGCCGTTGAAAGTCACAGCACTCCCTGTGTATGGGCACAGAGCTCTCAAGGTGGTCTGGCCAAGCCTCCCGCCTAGTCCAGTGGCAGGACACATGTGTCTGTCCCTCAGCAGATCACTGACCCAGCAGGTTTGAATTGTGGAAACTAGAAATAGTCCTTCATGATGTCCAAAAGGACTGCAGAGAGTTGTGCTCTCACCAGTACATGAGGTTGCCAACTGTATACCCACTCGTACATCCAATGGATCACTGTAAATAATTTTAAAACTATCTTTTCAATGCTGGATCTTCCACTCTCTGTCTGAGCTCCCTGTCCCTGTCCCCACATGCCACCCCCGGGACACTCAGGAGGGGAGGGGAAGCTCAGGGCTGGCCTGGTGGGGTTTGGGATGACTAAGGAGCCAGGCTCATGGGATCTACAAGTGAGGACTGGGTTAGACCCAGAGGGGAACATGGTCAGCAGCTTCCGGGTGCCTGGGAGGCCTCAGCAGCTAGGGCTGAGGTTACAAGTCAGCAGGTGAGTCCCTGGGGGCGCTGGGTCTCGGCCCAGGCTGACATTCGTGATTCCTGGGGAGGACCACCCCAAGGCTTGGGCACTGGAGGCTTAAAAGAACCCCCAGCTGGCTCTCCAGGGCCCCAAGTTTCAGCCCCTCTTGCCCTTCAATCCCCTTTATTCCACCCACCTGGTTCTCCAACTGATTCTTTGCATTTTACTTTTAAAAACATTTCATTTTCAGCCAGGCGTGGTGGCACACACCTCTAAACTCAGCACTTGGAGGGGAGGCTGAGGCAGGAGGATCGCCACGAGTTTGAGGCCAGCCTGGGCTACATAATGAGTTCAAAGCCAGCCTGAACTACAGCAAGACCCTGTCTCCAAAAACAAAACAAAACAAAACAAATTTTTTTTTTCTTATTTCATTTTGGACTCTTAGAGTAACAGAAGTTCACAAAACCAGTAGCAAATCAGTAAAACAAATGCATAAAGGAGAAAAAAGATATTTTGGTATTTTTTCCAGTCAGTGATTTGAATAGATGCACAGGCGACGAAGAGGCCCAGACTCTGGCTCCTCCCTCAGGGTGAGAGTCTGCTTGAGGTCAGTTGTGTCATTTCTCATACTCTCAGAGCTCTGTTCATTTTGATGCCAAAACACTGAGCATGTGCGCACGCCTGCCACAGGGATCCAAGATTTCGGCCCAACCCTCGGTCCAGTTGAGAAGGAAACCCACGGCCTTGTCCATGGCCTGTCCGCCTCTTTTCCTCTCTTTTTACTTTTCCTGGAGGCCACAGCATGGGTCTTTGTTGCTGTGGCTGTGCTGTGTTCACTGCAGGCCGTTCTCTGGGCTTCACTGGCTGTGAGGGAGGCTGTTACTGCTCCTCAGCCCCCTCTCTCTCTTCCAGCCCCAGGAATCCCAAGAGAAGTCACTCTCTCCTCTTGTTTCTTTCTCCTTCCCTCAGGAGCCTCGGATGTGTTGCCCTCCGGCCGACCCCTCCACACTAGGCAAAGCCAGGGGCAGGGCGGCCCGAGAGGCCTTCCCGGCTCAGCCGGTCCCTGCTGCTCTCAGCAGAGCTTCCAGAGCAGGCCGGAGGGGTGGCTGCCCTTCCGCTAGCCTCAGGCCACCACCGGCTTGACTGACACCAGAGACGCATCCACAAGTCCTTCGCTGTACAGCCCTGGGGTCTTGGCCTCCGCCTTCCCTCACACCGAGGCCCGCGAGACAGAAACAAGTCCAGTGTGCTCAGGGCTCTCCCAGGCTCAGGGTCAGAGGGATCTGGGGAGACTCCGTGGAGGAGATGGCACTGAGCTGGGGCACTGGAGGGAGAGGCGAAGGAAGGCGTGTGGAAGCAGGGAGTGAGCCGAGTGTCCGCAGCACAGCAGGACCAGACAGGGCAAGGGAGATGGGCGAGTGGGGCAGGCAGCACAGCCAAAACCTAGAGAGGAAGGGGCAGACGCAGGCTGTGGGGAACAGGACGTCGCTGGACACAGTCCCGAAGGAGCCAAGGTCTAGGACCAGGCCGACAGGGGCAGGGTGATGCCAGGGAGGGACGAGGACGGTGACAGGAGCGGGGGAGGAGGGTGAAGTATCTGCCTGGTGTCACAGCGCCTGGCAGCAGCTGCCTGCCACCTGTCAGGAAGACCTGGTAGGCAGCCGGGGCAGCGGGAACAGGCACAGCCAGTCAGGGTGCCCAGTGGGTCCTTGGCAAAGCACTCAGGCGTGGCACCCAGGAAGTGAGGGTCGCTGGGGCCTCACCACGGAGACTCCAGAGGTCATTTCTGAGAAGTGGGAGAAGCCTGGAAGTCTGGAGACGACAGAGCCTAGCAGAGGCACCAAGGGTGCTGTCAGTCCCCCGGCTTTAGTGAGGACAGAGGCTGGAGGCAACCTGGGAGTCACATCACTGGGTGACGCAGCCATGAGGGGTCCCAGGGAACCTTTTGTTTTAAAAGCCACACACAGGCCTAAGCAGAGAGAAGCAGGACTTGTAGCCAGGGCTTTTGCCATTGGGCAGGAGACCTTCATGAACAGAAAGGCTCCTTCGTCACCTCCCCCATGTCCCCAGGAAGCTGGGCAGTGTCCTCACAGCCACTTGTGAGCTGCCACCCGTCCTTTTCTCGCTTAGAGGGGGCTCTATGCAGGGCCTGGTGTGTGGGGGCTCCGGAAAGCTGCTGGATGAGTAGACACACGCTCTGCATCCATATCCTCCATGTACCCAACTTCCTCTTCCATCAGACAGCGGCAGCTCTACGCCCCCACCATCACTGGCACAAGGGTGACGGCGAGCCGGCGGGCATGCTCCATCGTGCAGGGAAGAGCCCCACAGCCAGGAGGAGCTGGGGGTCCCTGCTTCCCTGCTGTCACAGCACGAGTCACCATGACTCCACCAATCACGGCTGCAGTCTCCTCGGTGGTGGAGATCTCGCCATAGTTTGGTTTTTCCTCTCCAAAATGAGTGGAGACAGTGCCCAGGTGCTACGAAAACAGGGCACAGCCAGGCGACTGCAAGGCTGAGGGCTGCACGCACCCAGTGGGAAACCATCCCCAGCAGGAGAGCCGGCTCCCTGAGCTCCCCTTCTCCTACAGCTTCACAGAGGGGCCCCCAGCAGCTGGCCTGGGCACAGGAGGGAAGCATCTTCCAGAGGGGTTTGGGGAGGGAGAGAGAGAGAGAGAGAGAGAGAGAGAGAGAGAGAGAGAGAGAGAGTGAGTGTGCCCTGGCCCAGCACGGAGCCGATGATCCAAAGACCCAAGTGACACAGATGAGACCTGGCACTGCAGTGCCCCACAACCAGCCTCCTGGAGGTAGGAGAAGATCTGCCAGTTCCCTGACCTGCAGAGGCTGCCTGGCCTCCCCATGGGCAGGAGCCTTCCGGGTCCTGTGGACTGAAAGCCAATGGAAGCCCCACGCTCTGCAGCGAGCAGTGTAGGGCTTCCGGTCAGGGGTCCATGAGGTGACAGCTACCTCTGCCAGCGGCCATGTCTGGCCAAGAGTGACAAACAGCTGTCAGCAGTGAGGGAGAACGTCTACCTTAGGGACTCAGACGGTCTCCAGAGGTGAGGCACTGGCCCAGAGATCTCTGCCCCCGCCCCAGCCCCAACAGCAGCTCAGGCCAGCCCACAGTGCTCTCCACAGCAGAACTATGGTGCTCCATGAATGCTCTTCTCCCTCCCCATCCCCCTCCCAGTACTGGGTAGGGAGGAACCTTCTGGGTTTAACTGTGCTTCTGCTTATGTTATGGTACCAGCCCACAAGACCTCAGAATGTGCCTGTGCAGTGGTACCTCAGTTCCTGAACTTAATTCATTCCACACTTCCGAGAAAAGATGGCCACGTTAATGTTTGTCATCTGATGCAGAGTTTGCAAACAAAAACAAAATTTTGCCAGATGCTTCCGTTTTTGATCCAAGTTGTTCACAAACAAAAGAATTTGTGAATCAAGGTACCACTGTGTTTGAAGACAGGGCTTTTAAACAGGTGACTCAGTAACGTGAGGTCATTAGGGTGGTCCTAATCCAACAGGGCTGGCATCTTCATGGGGAGATCAGGACACAAAGAGCTGCGGGAGTGCACAGAGAAAAGGCCAGGCACGCCCATGGGAAAGACGGTGTCTGCGTGGAGGAGAGGTCTTCAGAGAAACCGGCCCCACCCAACCTTCCTCCTAGGCTTGCAGCCTCCAAAACTGCAGGGGATGAAGCTGTTGTTTAACTGAGGTGTGTCATCCCTAACAAGAACTCCATGGGAATCAGGGACAGAGGAGGAAGGGACCGTGTCTCCCTCCACCTCATGTCCTTGGAATTTGTTTCTCTACTGTTAGGACGTCCAGAGACTTGAGGCCCTACAAGAATCAGCTGTTCCAAATGGAACCCCTGAATTTCCCCAGAGCTGAGGAGTAGAAGAAACCTAACCTAGACCAGATGCCACCTCAGGGCAGGTGGTCACCACAGTAAGAGCCCCCAGCCATGGAGATACAGCCCTATGAATCTCCATCTAGTTAGCAGGAGCTGAGGGGAGAAAGGGAAGAACTGGTGTGTTCTCTCTCCCGAGCAGGGGATGCACGGCTTGGTGGTGATTCCAGCAGAAGCGGGTGAAGACTGGGTGCTCGGGGAGGGATGGGAGCCAGTGGTGGGTAGGGGATACGGCCTTATGCAGCCATCCACATGCCCTTACCTTCCCACCTCCCGGCTGGTGCTTCAGGTTCTCGGTGGAGCCGATCTTGGACCTGACGTTCTTCAGGTCTGGCATGGGCACAGGGGCAGTCTGCAGGCGGCTCTTGGTGGAGGATGGCGACTTGGGTGGAGTGCGGACCACTGCCACCTTCTTGGGCTCCCGGGTGGGTGGGGTTGGCAGGGATGGGGTGCGGGAGCGGCTGCCAGGGGTTCCTGGGGAGCCAGGACTGCTGTAGCCGCTGCGATCCCCAGGTTTTGCTGGTTCACCTGAGGAGAAGAAAGGCAGTGAGGCCAGGGGCAGCAGTCAGCAAAAGCCCTGGGGCCGCTGTCTGGGGCCCACTGCCAGCTCAGGATGACAGCAGGCACATGGGGACTGGGTAGGAACAGGGTTGAGAATCCAGTTGAGCAGCGGAGTGAAGCACTGGCAACTGTTTCTGGAGAAGTGCCGCCTCCTACCTCCCTCGTCACTTAGGGACAGTGACACCCATTTATTCCCCAGGGAAGCGACAGAGTGGTCATCAGTTTCCCAATTCCCCCTCCCACTGTCCCACGGTCAAGGGATGGGCTCCAACGAGTTCTGTGGTCTCAGGCAAGTTACTTCCCCTCTCTGAGCTCAGAGGCCTCAGCCCGAAAACGCAAGTGACGACACTGCCGCAGTGAGGGAGACTCCAGGCGGTGCTGTGTGTAGACACGCTTGGAAAAACTCACTTCTGCACGGCCTTTACCTCAAGCAAGGGCAATACAATGGCAGAGCCCAGCTGCTGCCCTCCAGCCTGGACTTACCTAACTGTCTACCCTCTGGGCGGACTGGAAGCTGGCTGGCAGGTCCAGGGCTCCTCTGGAGCCCAGCCTCCAGGGGTCACACTGTGCCACGCCTGTGTGTCTGCCCGGCTCGGCAGGACATGCAGCTGGCTTGCTGTGCACTGGAAGAGCGCCTCTGTTACCTCCCCCAGAGCGCCCTCCCCATGCACCCTTCCTAATACCAGAAAGGCGTTAGGCCTCTCCGCCCACAGGCTCAGTCCTTCCCTCTGGCATCCTTTCCCCCAAACATGAGGCTATGACTACCCTTTCCGGGCCCTGGAAAGCTTCAGGTTTATTATTCTGTCTGCCTCGTGGTCCAGCGCGTCTCCAAGCGGGCCCCACGGACCCGTAGGTCAGAATCTCCAGAGTTTTCCTATTCTTTTTTGTGGGGAGGGAGGCAGATCTCCAGAGCCTTCGAGAAGAAACTGGGACTTGTAAAAATGCAGATTTCTGGGCCCCACCCAGATCTGATAAGAGGAGGATGTATAGGGGTGAGGCTGCCAAACTAGTTTTCCTCCCTTCTCACTCACCCATGCCACCCAAGACTGCCAGAAAGCCCCTTCACAAACACTCTTCTCTGCTGCCCGTGTGGCCAATCGGCCAATTAGTGGCTGCTCCTGTGCAGTGGAGTAAGCGCTGCAGTGTTTAGTTTGGGTTTCCTTGCCTTAGATGCCCCTAAGGCAGGCAATCTCCATGGCAACAGGACAGGGCGGCCTTTCCTTTTCCACAGGGTACAGACTGGGGTCTCCCTGTCTCCAGGGCAGCGGTGGGCTTGGTGTCAGTTCAAATCCTTTCCACTTTACTTGCAGAGGAACCTTGGGCTTCGGCAAGCCAATTACCTTCCTTAAGCTGTGTTCTCCTCTGAAAACTGGGGAGAGAGAGCAGAGCCCTCAGGACAGTTTTGAAGATGGGCTATTGTAACAGGTAAAGGGTCCATCTAGTGTCACCAGGAGCTGGGTGTGATGGTGCATACACACTTGTAATCTCAGCTACTTGGTAGGCTGGGGCAGGGGCATCACTTGAGCCTATGAGTTCAAGACCAGCCTCAGCAACACAAGGAGACGCCATCACAGAAAACAGAACAAAGGGGCCGGCTTTAGCTCGGTAAAGAACGAAAGCACCAGGAGTTGGTAAATGCTTGACTAGTGTTCATGAGGCCCTGGTTTGGTCCCTAGTACAGAAACAAAAAATGAAAACTCTACCTAGTAAATGCCAGCAGGGATTTCGCACTTCAACCTTGGTTAGGGACAACCCAAATTTCCACCACCCCATGCTCCCTGCTCCAAAGCAGATGAGAACATGGGGTTTGGCAGCCCCCAGACAGATGCATCTGCAGGAACCACATAGAAAAGAGAAGCAGGGGCCGAACTCAGCTCCATGCGGAGCCTACATGGGCTCAGCAGGTCCCAGCCCTGCAAACAGTTCTGGGGCAGTGCACGCATGAAGGGTGTCTGCCTGCCCAGGGAAGCAGACCCAGAATTACCTCTCTCAGATTTTGTCTCTGCAGGAAGTACCTTTCTCTGCACTTGCTTGCAAGTTTAAAAAGAAAAATCCACAGACAACCTCATCATAATCGGGTTTAACTAATGAGCTCTTCACGTGGCAGCATCCAAACCAGCACAGAAGAGAGAGGTGCGAGGGGCAGGCAGTGTGCAGGCGCAGGAAACGAGGTCCAGCGCCCAGGGGAGGCTCAGTCTAGCAGCAGGCAGCTGCCTGTGGCAGTGAAATCCCCGAGCAAGGCATGCCCTTGTCTCTAGTCAGCTGGAGTCACATTAAGTAAGCAGCAACAGGATCAAAATCACTTACAAATCAAACCAAAATTCCACTGATTTCCCCTTGATCCTAAGTATTTTTAGGACATGCGAAGCAAAAACACAGAAGCAGCAGCTCTTAGCGAGCAGTGTCTTGGCAGGCGCCACATTCCACACTCAGCAAGAGTGCACAGCTACCAAGGCAGGCCAGGCCACCGCAGCCAAGAACAGGTCTCCAGGGCACCCAGAAAGGCACTATTCCTGAGAGTACCATGGCCCCGAAACAGCTAGCCGGAAGCCCAGCTGGGTGCTCAACGCTGACTGGCAGATGAACACCGGTGAGAGGCTGGGGGCGAGGATCACCACGAGTTCAAGGCCAGCCTGGACTACACAGCGAGCCCTGTCTCAACTACCGCCCCCCACGCACACAGAGGGAAAATTTCCAAAAGGGTTAAGAAGAAAATGAACGTTCATTTGCTTAGTGAACTACAAAGCACTGATCAGCTGCCAGGCATTATTGTCAGTGGCACCCGAGACTGGCTCTGCACCTTCTGGGAGCTTCCCCGCCCAGGCCTCAGGGGAGCTTTCTTCTTACCAGTGCTGGGAGGTGTCTTCGGGGTAGGTGTGGTTTTGGCTGGAATCCTGGTGGCGTTGGCGGCACCTTTCTGACCTGGAGGGGCTGCTCCTCGGGGTGTAGCGGTCTTGGCTCCAGTTTTGCCATCAGCCCCCTGTAAACCAAGTTGGGGTAGAGTGGTTTTTACCAGTGGGAATGGTGACTGCCACTGAGTCAGAGGCAACCTCATTCTACTGCCTTGACTCAAGGAGGTGAAGACAGGGGTAACCTTTTGCCTACTGAATGCGATACACATCCACCATCCCAAGGGTTGGCTGGGCATACAGCCTCACTGCCCCACCCCTCCGCCAAGCACCCTAGTCACTAATTCCTCTCGGGGGAATTGTTTGCATTAGTGATCAGCGCTGGGTGGCTAATATGTTTTTATCAAAAGACAACAGGGCTTGTAGCAACCATCAGGGTCATCATCCACTCTGCGTCTGGTTAAAGGACAGGGCCATGGGGGACTCTACCATGGGGATACTTATTTTTTTTACTCTAATTACGGATGTATCTGACTGATAGGAAGTGGTTGGTTTCACCCCAGGTCCATGGAGACACTGTTTGGTTGGTTGGTTGTTTTGAGACAGGGTCTCACTATGTAGTTGAGACTGACCTGGAACTCACTATGTAGCCCAGGCTGGTTTTGAACTCACAGCGATCCTCCTGCCTCAGCCTCCTGAGTGCTGGGATTACAGGTGTGCGCCACCATGCCTGGTGCATGGAGACAGTATTTGTTGAACCTCACCATCCACTGAACCTGAACAAGAATGTTAAACATTTTCTCCCAGACCACCCTCGCTTCTCATTAGCCCTTCAATTCTTACAACCTCTAAAAGCCCTTGGTGAGCGAACACTGGGGAAAGGTTGGGAGCAAGAGCTGGTACAAGCACAGTCTGCTGATCACAGGCAGTTATGGGTTTGGTTCCCCAGCTGATGACCGTTAGATGTAACATGAACTCCAAATAGAAACTGACATGAACCACAGACCACAAGATGGCTCAGGAGGGAGCAGCTTGGGAACAGGTTGTTGCAGCCTAGTGCTGTCCAACCAAATGAGGACACAGGAAGGGCAAAGAACCCAGTCAGAGATGGCTTCCTGCCTGCCTGCTTTCCTTCTTTCCCTCCCTTCCTTGTTTTCTTTTCTTCCTTCCTTGTACCTCCTTGCAGTATCAGGGATTGAAGCCAGGGCATTCACAATGAGCTTCATTCCCAGCCCTTTAAAAATAATTCTTTTGAGACACGATCTCTCTAAATCACTAAGTTGCCCAGCAAATGTGCAATTTTCCTACCTCAGCTTCCCATAATGCTGGGATTACAGGCATGTGCCATCACACCTAGCTAAGAAGCAACTTTCAATTTCCCAGGTGTCTTAGGGGCTGCCACTGGGAGGAAAAGTATAGCCCCAAGCCTCCTGTCCCTTCTCAACCAGAACTTTAATGTGCAGAGCTCTTCCCTGTCAAAGAAAGGTCTCTGCAGCTAAGAAAACACAAGTGAACACCATTTCAGAGCAGCCTGGTTCTTGTCAAAGTTGATTTCCTTACCTTGAATTTTATCTCCTTTGCTCCAGAATTGCCAGTTCGGGGTGTGACAGGAGAGACGTGTTTAGGAGAGGAAGTTGGCTCAAGACACACAGCAGGGCTGGAGGGTTTGATCAAAGGGTCTGAGCTACCAGGAGAGGAGTGTGTGGGGCTAAGGCAAGGCCTATGTCTCAGGGTTTTAGCACAGGAAGGTGTGGATGTCTTAAACATAAACATAAATAAAATCAAAATAAAAGTCAGCACATGGGGGAGAGAAAATAAACTAAAAAAAGGACAATAACTAAAAGCAAAGAAGGCAGGTCATAGTTCAGAGCAGCGATCGCACATGGCATGATCAGCGTCCTCATCAGCCCTTCTGATCAATAAGGAAGGACAACCACCATGTTCCTTTATAGAATTCTCTATCGGCTACACACACGTGCCACAGTGCCAGTGAATGGCAGACATTACAAAACCTGCGTATGACAGAACTTGGATATGTTTTAGTGTATGTGCCACTGATGAGATGTGAGCACTTGACAGAACTTTAAAAAGAGAAGAAGAACCGTGGATAGGAGTCCTGGTATGTTCTTTCTCCAGCCATTGGATCTTCCTGTAGCTCTCACTTTGGAGAACACTGGTTAAAGGTGCTTCACAGTCAGTCAGCGGAGACCCTCAAGGTACAGGAGTCTTGGGTTGCTTCTTAAGAGCAGGTCCCCAACATGTCATGGGAGCCAATATGACAGAGGTGCCCATTTTCTGCTCAGATCTTGGGGAAATGCTGGGGTGCCCAGAGATTCTGATACCACCGAGCGCCCCCCATTTCCGATTCAAGTTCCAAATAAAACTAAACACTCTGTGCTGAGTCCCAAACTGCCCCAAGTGAACTCCTGGACATGTCCCACGTGTTTAGCCTGGTAGGGTGGGTGCTAACAGGAGAAGGGCCTGTGGAGCTGGACAACCTCCAAGAGGGAGCCGCCCTTGAACTTGGGTACTTGATAGACGGAGGCTGATCCCCACAGTTTGTCCTGTCTCTGGGGAGCAGGAAGCTGAGTTCCTGGTGGAGGAGGGTGTGGAACCACACTTTGGGAATACAAGCTGAGACGCAGAATCTAGGGCTTCTCTGGGGTGGGGACCAGAGCTACAGAGCAGGGCCCTGATCAGAAACTTTACTGGGCCTCTCCGGCATGTTTCTTATTGCCTTCAGATTCCCTGCCTAAGTGGATGAGATCTTTTCTATGTCAGCCTTGTCAAGAAACAGACCCCAAGGAAGGGCGCAAGAGTGAGAGGGGAAGAGACACGGGCTGACAGGGACACATACGTGATTACCCAAGGTAGCCACTTCTGGAAGCAGCTCAACCTGAGCTACCAAACTTTAGACCCACCTTCCGGACCTGGAGACTCCGGCAGGGCTGTACTTCTGATTACCATCCGGATGTTCCAGGCAGCGTTTATTGATTAGCTACCGGGGATGGAACGTGCATGTGAGACACACGTTCCAGTACTGGGCCACTTCCGCAGCCTCCCTGGCCGCCTTCATATTAGAAACTCGGTATTCCTCTAAAATAGGTCTTATCTAGGGCTCTGGTGGGACTTCCCCGGGAAACGACCACTGTGCAGCGTGGGGAGCGTTTTGTGAAATATAAAGTTACTAAGAGAGGAAAATGTAGCTGAAGCGAAAGGCAAAGAGACAGGCAGGGTGTTCGGTTTATGGGGAGCAGCCTGCTTCCTTTTGTCCCCAAGGTTGGCTGCTGAAGCCTGGCTGGGTGGGGCTGACCCCGAATCGCAGCTCTGGCGCGACCACAAGATGGCGTCTCCTGCGCTAACCCAGACTTCTCCACTCTGCGTTTCAGATGTGGGTCGAGTTTCCCTCTTCCACTTTCTTCCCAACCCATGGCAGCTCCACAACCAAGCCAGACCCTCCTCAGGTTTCTGCTTTCAGGTCTTTGTTCCTGCGGTTCCTCCCCTGGCCATGCCTTTCGCTGTCCGAAAGCAGGGAACCTCATTTGTGTTTCCTTTTGGGCAGGCATCCTCGTTCCTCTCTTCTGTGGCTGGACAGTGCTTCCTCGCGCGATTCTCTCAGAAGCCTGTTATGTTTCCTACATATGTTAAATGTGTGAGCACGCGCACGCCTGCACATGCACATAGTGAACCTAGATCCATACTGGCAAGTGTGTGATGTGAAAAGTGCAAGCCTTCTTGCAGAAAATGTAAACATATATTCATTAAACTATGCTGAAACTATGGCCGTTAGGAGCATAAATTTGTTAACTCGCTGACTGCCCTGCCCTGGAATAAAAACTGATAAATGCTGGACTTTTTAAAAGCCCGTAAAAACATATGATGCTCTTTAAATGCCAGTTGTACTTTAGTGACAAACACTCGCCACATTATACGAGAACAAACTCGGACATAAAGCACAGCCTCTTGGTAAACTTGACAAGTAGTAGAGTTTTGTGGTACTGTCAACTTACCTTTGCTCTTTTATCGTCATTCCCAGTTCCGTCTTTGCCTTTACTGATCATGCGAGCTGATAAAATATAAAACGAGAAATATGTTACACCTCATTTTCACAGTTCATGAGAAGAGCCAAAGCAGTTCAAGATTGGATGGGAGGCATGTGTCGGTTTAGCTGGTCCTGGAGGAGGAAACCCAACTGATTCTCCCTTCCCTCCAGTCTGCTAGCTGTCACTTGTTAGTACCAACACATCGCATGGCAGCCATTGCTGGGAGCCACACTGAGAGAGGGGCGGCAGGCTGGCTGAGGGTGGGGACATGCAGAGGGGACGCAGAGGATGATGTTAGAGGCACAAGTGGCCACAGGGCTGTTGAAGGAAGGTAGCATGGGCTTCTACCCACAGCTCCCTCCCTGCCCTGCTAGAACCAAATCCACTCCCAGGGAGCACTCAAAAGCCTCCAGGCTGTGGGGCAGCTCCACCAGTCCCTGGGTCCCTGAAGGAGCCCATGATCAGGACGGGCAGTTGTCCACACTCGCCAGGAGCCCTGGCTTGGTTTCCTGTGTGGTTCTCACTTACCTTCTAGAGCCTAGATGTCTGACAGGGGCTATCACCAATTCCCCTGCACAGGCTCTCAGTTTGTGTCGAGTCCTATGTCCACCCCGCTGGCCATCTGTGCTGACCACCCTACCCCCTACTCTCATTCATCTGCTATGAGAAGAGGTGAGCCAGGGGGATGTCTGGCCGCACCCCCAGAGCCTACCCTTTCCTCATGGGGACCTTAGTTACTAGTCCTGCTGCTTTCAGACAAGCCCATCCCACCCTGACCCAGCCCTGTGGGCTTCCCACTACCAATGGCCTCTAGGGAGGCCAATCCTTCTTTTCTTCTCCAAATCAGCTTCCAATGTATTACCATCACATACCCTGCAGACGACATCAGGACTTGGGGACCAGCCTCTGGCAGCTGGTGTTTAGGAACCGCACCGTGGCCTACTGAAGTAGTCTCACCTTTCACTCATGCCCACCAGTGAACACTGATTTTTGATTTTCTTCTCTGGTTTCAGAATCATACACCCTCTGCCCTGAGGACAATGGGGCCTCCGGATTTGCGGGGCAACAAGCACTGTTCTCTAGTCCAGGGGTTTTCCAACTTTACTGTGTGGAAGAATCACCCAGAGAGGTTGCGTAAACAGATCCCTAGACTAATGTGGTACCCAGGAACAGAAGCTCCAGGTGGATCTGGCTACAAGTTCCTTCCTTTGCTCACCATTCTCATCACAACAGCATCCTTGAGATGAGTATTTCCCAAACCAAGGCCGGAGGGACTCAGTAAGCCCTCTCTGGGACACATGACCAGGTGAGATCAAATAAATTTGGGAAATTCATACTACTTATCTTTCCCAAAGGGTCACAACACACATTAGCATACTAATGGCCCTGACACATTCTGCACCAGCAAAGTCTGCTTAACTTTGCTTAGCCTGTTTTTCACAAACTCACAAGTTCATGGAGCCATCTCTCCAATCCTCAAACACACCTACTGACCTGCGATGGAACAGGATTCACTAAAATATCACTTTAGGAAACCTGCGGTAAATTCTAAATTGTCAAATCACAGTCCTTTGTCCTCTACTGTTTGGAATTTAAAATAGGACCACAGGATGTTTTTTCTGACTTAAATTTTAAACACAGGTTCCTTTACCTACATTTCAAAGTTGTCCCTACAAGTAGAACCTAATCAAAACTTAACAGATGTTTATGACTGTTAGATTAAGTGGCACCAATCTCTGGGTTCTGCAAATAATTTTTTGGTATTAGGAATTGAACCTAGGGGCTTTGCACTGAGTTACATCCTCAGTTCTTTTAACTTTGAGACAGGGTCTCACTAAGTCACTAAATTGCCCTGAGGAGACTCATACTTGCTGCTTCTCTGACCTCAGGTTCTCGGAGTTCTGGGGTTACAGGTTTGTACCTCCCCCCACCCCGTCCAGCTCCTGCAAGTAATTCTAAAATGAGAAGTATTCTAAATTCTAACCCTATGTGGCTTCCCCTGGGACGAAAACCTGAAGGGCTGCTGCGACTGTGCTCCAGGTGGGCGGAGCCGAGGCCCCTGTGATGACACCACATGGAGTCTCTGCCCACGGAGGGGGGGCGTGCTGGACACGGAAGATCCTGTTTTTGCTCATTTTCTCTCCTCCCACAGGCAGGACAGGGCGTGGGCAGGGCTGCTGTGCCAAAGGCACCTTGTGGGCTCTCGGCTACCTCCAGTTGCCCGTGGGCGTCACCTGCCAAACGTGACAAGTTGTCTGCTGACAAGAGCAGCAGGAGACAGGTACTTGGCCTCTGCATCTCTGTTAGGAGGTGGGGTGTGGGAAGAGTGTCTTTCAGAGCAGACCCACCCGGATTCTGAACCTGGCTCCGTCACTTCCTGTAGGTGACTTTTAGCAAATTACTCTACCTCTCTGAGCCTCAGTTTCCTCATCCGCAAAGTGGGACTAGCTTTGCCTACTTAAGGGTTCAGAGGGTTCTAGACCATCGACGCGAGGGTCAGCCGTTATCTTCTCTGGGAAGTGTGCTGACCAACCTCCTGAGGGATGTGGACCATGGCTGAAACACCAGGTGGGCAGAGAATGGAACAGGGCTGAAGCACCGGGTGGGGATGCTGGTGACATGCAGAGCAGTGGGCAAGCGTGAGAAGAGCACGTGCTACTGGGGCCTGGCGGCGGGGGGCTGAGGAAGGGGAACGGCGGGGCCCAGGTGGCCGGTTTCGTAGCTGTCCTAGAACCTCGCAGGAGACAGGAGTCAGGGAAGCTCAGTGGCAGTGCCTGCAGCCTGGGTGACACAGGAAGGCGCCAGGGGACGAGCGAGGGAGCTCAAACACAGACCTTTGAGTTGAGGGACCCGGCTGACAGGTCTACCCGGCAGGCCAGCTGCAGGCTGCTTCTCAGCTGTCTCAGGAAGGTCAGCCTCCTTTGTGGCCTCTTCCACAGAAGGGCCCAGGGCCTCTTGCTCTTCTTTTGGGGCCCCCGGAAGTACAGCCCCTTCCAAATCCAGCTCTGAACATGCCCGTTCCTTCGGCACATTAGCTTTTATTTCCACGTGAAACGTGAACTCAGGAACAGCCCCATGCCCATCCACCATGGGCCCTGTGCTGGGCCCGTCGGGTGGTGAGGCCAGGGTCTCTGTAGAAACTTTGGAGAGGAAATCAACAGGGAGTGGGATGGCACCCTTGGCCAGGAAACCAGGGACGCCGGCGGCTTCTCTGGAAACAGCGTGGGGGGGTGGCCCACTGGGTGCTGGGGACACCTGGAAAGGAGGTGAATCTTGGGGTGACGATTCATCAATGTCGCGGTCTTCATCCACCTCCTTGTCACTCCCCAGTCTTTCTTTGCCCTGGGTCTCCTTCAAAGGGGGCCCCTTCTTGTTCTGGTCTCCCAAAAGCTGGTGCTTCAGCAGCTCAGAGCCTTGGTGGCTTCTATCCAGGTCCTCGGGTCCTTTCCCTAAAGCCTGAATTGTGGCTTCTGCAGGGCCTTCAGGCAGGAAGGGGGCCGTAAGCATGTGGGGCATGTGCAGGAGGTTGAGACCCAGGGTCTCTGGATCCGAGGATTCACCTCCATGGCACCTTGGTGCCCCGAGCAAGCTTTCCTGGACACCCTTGACCTGCTCTGGCTCCGTGTAGAGATGTCCAGGGAAGGAGAGCTTTGAGATGAGTAGAGCCTCGTTGGCTTGGTCCCCATGCTCTGGTCCCCATTCTTGGGTGGGTTTTTCAGGGCCTCCTGGTAGGAGAGGCTGCAGAGGAGGGTGGGCGACTTCTGGAACAGGAGCTTCTGACTGTTTTTCACCCAGAGGCAGCACTGAGACCCCAGAAACTTCTCTGCTGTGTCTGGGTTCCACTTGAATGCTAAGCTCCTCGGCCAGGGGCCTCTTGGGGGCCTCCCTCTGCTCACCTGGAACTCTTATCTCTTCTGGGTTTGGAGAAGCAGCAGTTGCAAAAGGTTAGCAAGGGCGTAGTAATTGTTTAAGAGAGGGACATCATTCTTACCATCAGAAAGGACACTTAAGGGCTGGGGATTTAGCTCAGGGGCACCTTGCCTGCCTTGCAAGCACGAAGTCCTGAGTTCAAGAAAAGGACACTTAAAGGCATCATAATCCCATCTAACAGAAGCAGGCATGGCTCTGGGCTCATTCTCTGCTTTTGTTTGTTTTCAATGAAAGTTTTCTTGCTCTTGACTCTGGGTTTTCTCATCTGGCCCTCAGTTTTCTCATCTATAGAAGTGGGGAGGGTGGGCCCCGGTGACTTCCCTTCTGGTGTGGGTGTGGTCCCTCCATCTCCTGCTGAGGTCTTGCTGGGCAAGGAGGACACCAGTATCTCCAGGGCCTTCTTGTTCACAATCCTCTGGGATACAGCAGCCTTTTCCTCTTTCAAGGGGATTTAACTCTCCTGAAGAGTCTGCCCTTTGGATGGGACGTGGCTGGGGTGCAACAAGGCTCCCTTTCCTCTCCCCCTCTCTCTGTCTTTTGTACTTTTTCAGTGCTGGGGATCAAGCCCAGGGCCTTATGCCCACTAGGCAAGAGCTCTATCACTGAACTATAGCCCTACGCCCCCACCCTTGCCTTTATAAAATTTTGAGACAGTGGCTGGCCTCAACTATGAGATCCTCCTGCCTCAACCTCCCAGGTAGCTAGGGTTATAGGTGTATGCCAGTATGCTCGGCTCATAGGCAGGGCCACTGCAGCAACAAATGTCTCAGGGTACCCTTCTCTGTCTGGTCACACAGCATGCTGCCCACCAATTCAGATGACTAAGAGGACATTCATTCATGTGAACCCCCCTTTATAGTATCTGTATGTTAAAGACAGGTGAGTTATGCTCCTTAGTTTTTCCTGGTAATCACCCTGAATGAATGAATGAATGAATGAATGAATTTTGCAGAACTGGGGGTTGGACCCAGGACTCTGCACATGCTAGGGAAGCACTGTGCCACTAAGCTACTTCCCCAGCCTGGCACCATTTATTTTTTCAACTTTCAATTCTATGAACATCCCACCTGGTCCCAAAAGAATAACCCATAAACTCCCCAGCTCTCTTCTAACCAAGTCTATACCCTAAAGACTTTAGGAACTCCCAAAAGAAGATTTGGATGAAATCAGGGAAGGAAAGAAGACAAGGTAAGGTGCCTGCACTCAGGTATGCAGCTGTGAACACACTGCCCCCTCGGGGCCAGAATGGGCAGTGAGGCCCACGATGGGAGCCAGACGGCCCTGCGGGTCACACTAAATGATGGATAAATTCCCTATGACTTCCCGGAGAAAAGAACAGTATCTTCCCAGATCTTCTGCAATCTCGAAACTTCCAGTAAACTTTCAAGTTAGCCAGAAAACAACAGAAAACAAACAGCCATGTTTTATCCAGGTCTCCACTTCCTAAGATTCTCTAGGATTTTTAAGTCAAGTTCTCAAAATATTTGATAAATGATTCTAGAAAGCTACTCTTCTTGAACACAGCAGTTTAATTCCTAAGAAGAAAATTACAGTAAGGTCTGAAGGCTGCACAAGTGTAAAAGCTAGGTCGTGATGTGGAGGTAGGCTTACTCCTTGACAGGCCAGAAGGCAGCCCGCAAGAGAGCCACCCATTATGCGAATTTGCATTTCTGTTGAACATTTGCCCTCAGTTCCCAAGCTGAATGAGGCCAGCTTCCTTCAGGATACTGTGCCCCAGGAAAGACTCAGAAATGCTATCATAAAAAACCCCACAGGCTCTTTCCACATCTGAGGAGCCCACCTTTGACAAGAATCAGCAACCTAGATCTCCTGGATGCAGGAATTAGGGTGCAGATCCAGGTTCTTTTAGCGTGGAGCCCATCTGGGTGCTTCCATCTTCCTCCTTCAAACCCCCAAGTTGTGCAGGAGACTTGGGCCACTGACCTTGAGTCACGTGTCCAGCAGCTTGGTCTTCCAGGCTTGGGGTATCTCCAATGCCTGCTTCTTCAGCTGGTGTAGGCAAGAGGAAGAAGACAAAAGCAAAGACGGTTACTATCTGTTGGACCCCGAGCTTTCCACATCTGCTGGTATCTTTCCTAAAACCTGCAGAGAGGCAGGGCCTCAGGCAGCCTGGGAGAGTGATAATAAATTTCCCTGAACAAAATCCACAGCACCCACACACTCTGCCCTAACTTTGGCCTAGGTGAACAAGGCTGTTCCAACAAAGGTCCACCTTGTTCCACCCTGATCTCAGGGTAGGGAGGTCAGAGTGGCAATTACCATGAACCGGGTCAGGAGCCAAGTCCCACCCGGGTCACCCAAGGACAGGAGTTCAGGGACAGTCCCTGCCCAGTGGCGGACTAAGAGCAGCACAGCACACACCCAAATGCCACCACTCTCTTGATCTCCCTGAGCCCCATCTACTCATCTGGAACCCCAAGGAATGAGGCTCATTTATCTTGCAGGAGAACTCAGTGAAAGTGATCAGCATGTAAGTAGGTGACCCGAAGCTGTTAAGTTTTTTCCCATCAAAACTTCATGGCACATTTGGAGCACATACTGCCTGGCTGAAGAAGCTGGCAATCCCAGTGAGTAGTTTTTTGTTTTGTTTTGTTTTTGTTTTGGAGGGGTGCTCTTAGGCTCCTGTTCAGAGAAGCCCAGTCACCTCAAACAAAGAAAGCTGAGAAAAGTCCAACAGAACCAAAATCAGTTTTTTGGTTTTTTTTTTTTTTTTTTTTGGTATTGGGACCTTGCACTTGTGGCGCAGGTGGTGGAACCACTGAGCTAAATCCCTGGCCCCCCAAATCAGTTAGGTATTCATCCTGGAACACAGGAGAAGCCAGGAAATGACAGACAATCACCCAGAGTTGGTGCGTATAAGGCAAGTTGATGCACTCTGCCCTCATCATCCTGTATGACCAGCCTGCCTGAGGCAGGGTAGAGGGGCCCAGCAGCTCAGTCTCTGCACAGAAACTGACCTGTCCACTCACCACCACTGCCCATTATGGCTTCCACGGAGAGTGCAACAGGGAAAAGGTTCTCTGAGTGAGGGCCTCCTAAGCACCCAGCTGTTGGCTGTCCCAGGGCAGCTGCAGTGGGGTGTGGGTGGGCTCAGGAGCTCTGCAGCCACCAGGTCATCAGTACAAACACCTCTGAGTGCCCTGGGGCCAACACCATACTTCTCATGAGGTCTGATGGTGATGCTGATGGCCCTTATCAACAATGGGCAAGAATTGGGCCAAAAGTCCAGGAATCTCCGCTCCAGGTGTGGATTTGGACAAGGTTACGGAAATGATGGAAAGTTTTCAGTAAGTCCAGATGAACGGCCATGAAGTTCTTGAGACAGTGGGCATGAGAAAGGGCATTCTGGGACCCCATTCTGGGACACAGATGAGCCGATTCGCCTGCCTGCACCAATGCAGACTCGACCTGATGTGAGGCAGAAACTGGAGTCTGCTGATACCTCTGACTGCGGGGAGGGAGGGGCACTCAGAAAAGCCAAGGCAGCGCGTGCATGGAGATGGCTGGCAGCGCATCACTAAAATCCTCTCTTATCCCTGGGAGGGTTTTCATGGCAGGACTCACAGCACTGGCTGCACTGCAGCCCCGATGGTATCCACAGGCAGCTTCACAGGATTCTACAGATGGATGTGCTACAGCAAGTGGCTAAACTAAGGTCCACAGAGTCAGGGATGACCGCTGAGAAATGCTCACCAACTCTAAAACCTCCTGCCACCCCGAGGACGCGAAGGAGAAAGAAGGGGAGAGAATATCTGAGAATGATTTTCTTGGACAGAGCAGCTTTGAGGGCTGGGGTGGCTGTACGGCCATCTCCCATCTCAGTCCCAGTGTGGTCTTCATAGGCACCGATCACATACAGATATGTGGCATGTGGACCCTCTGGCTCAGAACCTGGTTGGCTGCTGTTAGGGCCCCATGGAGAGCCCCAGAGGACAGAAGAGGAGCTGGCTCTGCTTTGGGCAAAGAGTAGCTGGGCAAAGTGTGTTGCTGCTGCCGTGCCAGAGGGCTGTGCACCCAGTCTGCTCGCCAGTGTTCCCTGAAGACCTGATGTGCGCATATTGGAGATAGCCGTGTGGGTGCATTAGGTCACATCCTACAGGCCACCAGCAGGAGGCTCAACCTCAGCAGAGTGAGGCTGGAGCTGGATCTTCAGACCTCAGGGGCAAGAGGGAGAACACGTGTGCCGGAACCTAGTGCAGAGGATCTTCCGGGAACAGGAGATGGGGTGGGGGAAGAATATGGGAGAACTCAAACAGGGCCCCCGGAGAGAAGAAGTTATCCCCGAACACCGGCAGGAGTGGAATCAGCTCACACAACTGCCTTACACACTTGCCCATACCAGCCCCAGAGGAAGGCACAGCTCCTCAGAATGACTGCCACGTGGGACTGGCCTTTCTGACCAGCATTTACAGGCTGTGTTTTGCAAATATGGACACTACGGTGTTTTTGATTACTCAGGAGCAATGGAAAAAAAAAAAATCAAGAAATGGCTACAAGTTTCATCCTTCGGCAGAGGACAAACTCCCACTCAAACTGTGAAGGCCAATCGGGAGACAGAATTGAATCACCTGTAATCTCATGCTGTGAGTTGTTCCATGGCCTTCAAAGTCCTTCACACTCAAGGCTGAGGCCCTTTCAGGCTTCAGGAACTCGAACATGGCCCTCACCCATCTCAGAAGACCTCACTGCTGATCATCTTGCAAGGCAGAACTGCACTTTGAAGGAGCAAGGGTGTTACTGCTTGCCCTGCAGTGGGCAGTCTCAATGCAGGAGCCCAGAGAGATAGCTGCAGGCTTCCCAAACAGTCACAGAGAGTACATCTTCTGGAAGGGAAGAAAAACTCCTGCCTGGGCACTTCCCTGCTTTCCACTGACGGCGAATCCTGTACAGAGCACTTCTGCATTTCTCTCTCTGTCCTTGCTCCCCTTATCTGTTTTGTTTTTGGATGGATTCTTGCTATTTTGCCCAAGCTGGTCTCAAACTTATGGAGTCAAGTGATCCTCCCACCTCAGCCTCCTAAGGAGCTTGCATGCACTGCCACACCCAGCTTCTGCATTTTTTGCTAGACAGCTGGGCACTCTCCAATTCCCCAAGCACCCAAAGGGAATGGCCCCTGAGGCTCCAGGCTGTGCTGGCCCTTTCCTAGGCGTTGGTGCAGGATAGCTCTTGAGGGAATGGGTAGTCCCAAGCCAGTACTATTTGCTGGTGGCCCATCATCATCTGTGTTAGTAGCTGCCTCACACACCTATTCTACAAAGACAGGTATGAAAGGCACAATGTCCTAGAAATGGATGCAAAGTCACATTGCTGAACTCCTCCAGGACCGTCCCATTAAGACTTCCCAAAGTATGACACAGTCGTCTGGACCCTGTTTCATGCTTGGGTGCTCCTAGGGGAAAACTAACCCTTGAGGGTAACCTGCCACTGGGCTGAGTCTGAGAAGGAGGGTGGACTGACTTCAGATGTGCAGGAGGCACATCGGCCACAGCCCGCCTAAGAAAACACTGCAGAGAACTCTCTGGAGCTGTCTCCCTGACTGAGGCAAAGGGAAGAGGATCCAGAAAGAATCCAGAAAGCCCTAAGTCCTCTGAGAGGCTGGCAGGAAGCAGCTAGGCACCAACACCCCCTACTCCCAACAACCCAGGATTCCCAGAAGCCAGCATCTCCCCAAATCCTAATCTCACTTGGAAATGAGGGTGACCTGATGTGCACCCCTCACTGGGTCCATCACTGCCCTGCGATCTCTGGGAGCTGCCCTCACCTGTGGTTCCTTCTGGGATCTCCATGTGGGGCTGGGCGGCAGCCTGGTTGCCAGGGGCTCTCTCATCCACTAAGGGTGCAGTCACTTCTGGAAACCACCAAAAGTTACCTCAGAGGGGCCAGCCAGCCGCCCAGCTCTCTCCTTTGCTGCGTATGCAGAAGCAGTGCAGGGAGGGGAGTCAGGAGGGGACTGGCTACATGCAAGAAAGCACCAGTATAAAGCGAGTCCCAGCACTGCTCTCGCCCCATCTCCCCAGCAAGCACATAGTACATGGCTAGAGGGGCAGCAGCCACCGGACACCAGCCCACCCACCAGGAGACTTCCCAAGGAGAAGGACTGACTGCTGGGGCAGTCCTGGCATTTTGAAAGAGGAACTACTCTTGATGGTTTCCTGCTGTACGATCCTCAGGGCAGTACAGGAGGACAGCACTGGGAATTCTGCAGCACCTATAGTTTTGCTCTGAGGATCTGAGCAAGTCCTCTGCTCTCTTTGGGGCCCAGTTCCCTCGGTTGTAAAATGGGAGTGTCATCACAGTGACCTCTGAGCTTTCTTCCAGCTCTGAGTCGTTGTCCCCCAAGTCTGTAACACCCCCTTAACAAACACTGAGCCCCCGTATGGCAATGGCCAGGCCAGTCCTTCCCAGAGCTGGGTACTTGACCACTAGATGGGTCCAGCTTCATGGCAGAGGGGGAAGGTAAAGATGGCCTACAGGAATGATGGCCAGCATCTTATCAAGGTAGACGCTTCCAGCCTGTGGTCTTCCAGAGCCCGCCCTGGCATATGAAAAATGTAAGGAGCTGCCAACTTTGAAGGCTTCCCGGAGTCAATGTCAGCTTAGTTTAGTGAAGGTCGACTCAGGTGCAGGCTCTGCAGCTCCCCTCCTGTTGGTGAGAGCTGAAGCACGTGGGGCTCACACAGGTGCAGGTCCAGGCTGCAGTAAGACTAGGCAGGAGCTCCTTTCAGAGTGACACTGACAGGACACTGACAGCTGGCATGAGGTTTGGCTCAGTTTCAGGACCTTCCTAGGGTGGCAGGTGACTTGCAAAGCTGTCCTAACCAGATGAGCAGGAAATGCCTTTAAGTCACTGGCTCTCAGAAAGAGAGCAGAGAGAACTTTTCCATGCTGAGGACCTTGGGGTGAGGACCCTGCAGCAGCACCCTCCAGGCACGTGCCATTACACAGAGCAACTGGCAGGCACTCGACAGCCACTTTCTGGATTACTCCAAAGGTGGATGCTGGACTAGATTCTCAGCCTGTGACACAACATTCAAAGTAATGCATAGGCCTGGAGAGGCGTGAGAATATAAACTTGAACCTCTTCAGTAAGGACAGAGATGGAGGGGCAGATACCACAAACAAGTTACTCAAAAGCTATGTTCAATGCCCCTTTGCCTTGATTTCTTCTACTTAACAGGCTGAAAAGCCCACTGTTCAATCTCCCAGCCTTCACTGTAGCCAGAGTGGGTGATGAGACCTAGTTCTCAGCCAGTGAGATCCAAGGAGAAATCTGTAGGTGGCACTTACAGGAGAACACTCTTTCTTTCTTTTCTTTGTTTCTTTTCTCTTTCTTTCTTTCTTTCTTTCTTTCTTTCTTGCTTGCTTGCTTGCTTGCTTGCTTTTCTTCCTTTCTTTTACAGGAGAACACTCTTTCTTTCTTTTCTTTGTTTCTTTTCTCTTTCTTTCTTTCTTTCTTTCTTGCTTGCTTGCTTGCTTGCTTTTCTTCCTTTCTTTCTGTTTTTTTTGAGACAGGGTCTCGCTTTGTAGTATAGGCTGGCCTTGAACTCACTATGTAGCCCAAACTGGCCTTGAGCTCCCAGCGATCCTCCTGTCTTGGCCTCCTGAATGCTGGGATTACAGGCGTGCGCCACCATGCCCAGCTGAATTTTTGCTTTCCTAATGAAAACGGAACATATTGGCTTCAGGGTCATATTGACCACTTTGCTTTGTGACTTGTTCTTGCTTAGGAGGCAGCAACCATGTTGCAACCATGAGGCATCAATCCAATCACTGATGATGACAGAAGGTGAAAACAGAAGAGTACTGATCACATGGAAACCTGCTGCTGAAGCCCAGATATCTTATTACGGGATACAAATAAATCTCTTCATGTGTATGCCAGTTAGTTGGGTTTTCTATTTCCAGCAGCCAAACGCAGTAGTCTCAACTGACACAGATGGGAGGCAAGAGAAGGTGGTCAAAATCAGGATTAAGAAGCATTTCAGGAAATATATGAGGTGCATCAAATGTTTGGAGAGGGCAGGGGAGAACACAAGGCCGTGCCCATAGCCCAAGAAATGAGAATTCCCACGGTGTGGGCATGGAGATGTGTACGGGCCACCCCTTCCTCCGCCACGCTGCTGCTCGGGCTCTAGGAGCCCCTGAAAGAAAAGCAAAGTAGGTGCTTTGGATGGGGTCGGGAGGACAATGGATATGCGACAGACCTGTGCACGTGCCCTGCTTTGCCCCACAGCCCAGCCTCTGCAAGTGTGGCTTCCTGCGGGGCACACGCAGGGTGGAGGTGCCCATACCAGGCACCGGCGGGCTAGGCACCAAAGCGGGCCTGCTCCTGTACACTGCCTTGCAAAGCACTGAATGAGCACATCTCTCAGCCAGCAGGAGAGGAAGTAGCAGAGACAGCCAGAAGGGCGGCACAGGCGGCAGATGCAGGGGAAGGGTGGCTGAGAAAGCACAGCTAAGCGCAGGCTGGAGGTGGGGTGCAGGTGTCTGAAGGAAGCAGTGGAGGAGGAGGCCCCACCTTCGGCCGTCGGAGTGCTCTTAGCATCAGAGGTCTCAGAGCCCAGTTCCTCGGATCCTTCATCAGCAGGAGTCTGCAGGGGAGACTCTGGAACATACACAATGAACCCCTCAGATTGGGTGCCTCTCCCCAGACCTCTTTGGACCTCAGGGGGATCTTGGGAACAATGTCCTTTGAGCTGCAAACCCCTCAGCGTGAGCCCCACGGCCACGTGATCAAATCTCAAGGAGGCCCGAAGCCCTCCAGTGCCAACATCACTGGAAGAAGCAAAGATGATGTACGCTTGCTCCTGGTGGGAGGAGAGATACCTTGTGACCCACCGGTTCTCACAGGAGCAAAGGTCCTTAGAGTGACAAACAGGCAGTGAATCCCAGAAAGCTGAACCACAGGTGAACTTGCTATTAATTAATTAATGACAAATGGACACCTGGGAACCCCTCCCCACTGCACCAGAGGAGCCAACTCCTGCCTTAGAAAAGGAATCAGCTCAGGGCCAGGGATTTAGCTCAGCGGTTCGGTGGCCTGCCTTGCAAGTGCAAGGACCCGAGCTCAATCCCAATCCCTGGTACTAAAAAAAAAAAAAAAAGAAAAGAAAAGGAATCAGCTCAGGGCAGACCCAGTGCCTGCTCCTACATGAACATGTAGCCCTGTTTGGACTTTACCCAGCTCTTTCCACAGAAAGCTCTCCAAAGGACTGTACCATTTGAAATCTCAGCTATGGGTGCCTACAAGGAAAGTGGGAAGTGTCCTTTCAGAACCCAAAGCCTCGCTGAAAGGCTCAAATGACTGCAGAGGTCCAGAGCCACACCTTCCACCGTGAGTATCCTTGGTAAGACTGTTTTTGTTGGCCCAACAGAAATGAATCTACTTCACCAGGGAAGACTGAAACGTTCCCTCCTGTGTGATACCCTGGCCCTGGGAGTCAACCTGTCCTGGTCATTTTATGTGCTTATCAAAGAAAGCTTCACCCAGCCCTAGCTGGGTGAGCCACAGGGCCTATAAACGAAGAAGGGCAAGACTTCTGGATAGCCCTGTATACACAGAGCTGAGTGCGGGTCCCTGGAAGGAAGTGAGGTGCTCAGAACATCGGCTTCCAGGAACATAGTCTAAGGAGGGGCAAAGGAGACCACACAGAGCAAAAGGCCCCAAAGTCCATGTGTTCCAGAGCGGGCCTGGGGCCAGCTGAAAGTGTGCCCCTGAAGGTCTCCTAAGGGAAATGGGAGTTGCAGTCCAGAAAGCAGTGGACCAACAGCCAAGATGTCTGGGTTCAAACCCGAGTTCCACTTTTTTCTAGTCAGGCAGCCTTAGACTTGACCTCAGTTTCCTCACTGAAAAAGTGGGTGAGATGACATCAGCTCCACCTGCTTCCTCATGGAGCTGTTGTGAGCCACTGGGAGGATTCTGAGGGAAGCACTTTGCAAACTACAAGAATTTATATTTGTAGATGTAGTTCCCATTTACATGAAGGAGACAAGTGTTGATAGGGGCAATGTTGGGGTTCTCCTTTTAGCTAAATTCTACCTGAATGCTCAGGTACCGATGACAGCAAGGCACGGCTTGCTGTGACAGATGGATGGACTGATGGGTAACAGCACTGGTGGATGATTAGACAGGGGCTTGGAGGTATGGAGAGATGGGTAGATACTGAACGATAGGACACACACACACACACACACACACACGCACACACACACATGATTAGATTGATGGCTGGCTGGCTGGCTGGCTGAAATGGAAACACAAACAGTTCCCATCAGAGTTTCTAAGCCCTCTGCTAGGATATCTTGGCCACCTAATTTGCCTCATCTTCTCCTGACCCCCGTTCTGTGTGCCCAGAAAGCCTCTCCAGTCTTCTCAGTGGCATCTCGGCCATGAGGTCAGTGCTCCTCAGCTTTCAGCTTGGTGGCCTCACTCATCCTCCCCATGTGGCAGGAACTCCCCGTTCTTTATGAACATTTGCTGGATGAATGGGTTTTTCATTGTCCTACTCGGGCTGAGACTGAAACCTAGATGGCAGAGAGATAGATCACAGCCTCTGGAGTCAGGCAGATGGGGCCCAAATCCACCATCTGTCGGCTGTGTGGCTCCAGTCAAGGTACTAACATCCTTTTGCTTCAGTTTTCTCCCCTGTAAAATGGGTACAGCAGTAGTCCCACCCACTCATGGGGCTTCTGTGAGCACGGAACTACTTACAGTACATTCACACCTCTTTGTGTTGGTTGGGCCTGGAGGTGGGAAGCTCTCGGTAAGGAACGGTGATGACCTCCAGTCACTACATCCCACCTTGGCTAAAGCACTGTGCACCACAGTGGTGTTGACAATGGTGATGCGATGTTGGCTGGGAATCCCTGGGGCTCTGGCGGATAGCTGGCCACTGTCTCAGGTGGACGAATGGCTTTCGGCCAGATGAGGAAGAAACCCAGCTTCACGCTTTGGTCACAGCCTAGGTGCTATTCATACTCCCCCAGGTACACGAGGACTTTCAGTCCAGCTCTGTGCAAACACCTGCTCTGTGGCACAGACTGCTGACCACAGAGTCCATTTCCTTGGAAACAGAGACCAAAAATAATGCAGCATGGAGCTGTGCCCAGTTGAAGGCCACACCTTCCAGCCTCCTGGCCAGGCAAAGGTGTCTGATAAAATGTCAAGAGGAGTACGTGGACAGGATATTCAGGAAAGAAACATCTGTCTCGCAGGAGCTAGTGGGGAAGAGCTCCCTCTCTGCCCATCTCCTGCCTCTGTTCAGGATGGGGGGTTTTAACAACCATATGAAAAATAAAGACTCTGCTTGAAGGCTGTACAAAAATGGTAACGGGACCAGATCTGGCCTGAGGGCCAGGGCTAGCTAAGCCTTACCTTAAGAAATGGCTCCTGCCCTTTGGATTACAAGAAGGGAAGAGCCCACAAAGGCCACTGGTTACTCTGGTAAAGTCTGCGGCAAGAAAGCCCGGATGGGGTGAGAGGTGGGAGAGGTCTCCAGGACTGCCACTGTCGCGATGGACCAGTTGATGGTAGTATCACCAACAGCAGTGTGGAGATCAGGGACGGCCCAGGGTGGGGCACACGAGCGTGCTGGACTGGACCTGTTAGGTTGTGGGTGTGATGGGGAAGTAAGGGGAGACGAGTATTGTCTCTTGGGTAACGGGGGTCTCTGCGGCGTGAGCAGCCTTAGAGTCTGTTTCAGGATGGCAGGGGCTGGTTCTACGCACAAAGCAGAATCTAAAGATGAAAGGAGGCGAGTGGGGTTCCCTGAGCGCACAGCCTTTGTAAAAGTGCTGTCCCTGCAAACTGGCCGCGGCAGTGTCCACTCAGCTCAAGAACGGCTCATCCCAACCAAGCTTCCAGCAGGCGCGCAACTCCCTGGTCCTGAAGCTTGTCAAAACCTGCAAGCTTTCAGCCAGACGGTGGGGCAACAGCATACAGACTGCCCTTGAGTCTTGTCACTAACCAGCCTGACTACCGGCAAGAATGTAAGTGCTTCACACCCCTGTGTGGGAGGGTTGGGGTGCCCCCACCTGTCTGCAATCGCTCTCTTTTCCACTATCCTTGTTAAAGGCCTTGGAAGGAGCGGGAGGAGGGACAGGCCTCATTTGCATATCTTCCCGGGAAGGCAGAACAGGTTACCGCATCAACACCTTTTAATGCATGAGGGTGCATTATTTTACCAGCTAACAACTTTTACCCACTTTGCAGGGATCTAGCCGTACTTCAACTTTTAGCAACCACTTAGCTACTCTTTGTTCTGGAATTTAACAGGTAGTTTCTTGTCATTCATTATTCAAGAGCCTTTGTCACTTTTCTAAACTGTTGTTAGTACAGTGACACCTTCTGCCTAGTCAGATTTGTCACCCTGCACATAAAAACAGCTCACAAACTGTCAGAAGCAAGAATAAGTTTGATGATATCTATGAAAATCTCTAGGGAAGTACATTCTTTGGGTAGGCAAACCATCTTCAAATGCTTTTCTTTCACAGCAGTTCCAAAAGATTAGCAATTTAAATGTTGCAGTGTGTGTGTGTGTGTGTGTGTGTGTGTGTGTGTTGGCATAGAGCTCATCATGTTTTATGTTAAAGAATTGAATAATAGTTTGAACAAACATTAGGCCACCTTGAAACATAAAATAACTTGATGAACTTGATCTTACTTTACAAATTAAATTTAGTGTCTTAATAAATAAGAGTGGTGCCGGGCATGGTGGCGCACACCTGTAATCCCAGCACGCAGGAGGCTGAGGCAGGAGGATCACTATGAGTTCGAGACCAGCCTGGGCTACATAGTGAGTTCCAGTTCACTCTCAACTACATAGTAAGACCCTGTCTCAAAAACAAAAGCAAAAATAAACAAACAAACAAAAGAGGGTAAAAACCACATTTTCCTCTGACTTTATTTTAAATAAACTTGCAATTTTAGAACAGTTTTACATTTATAGAAATTATAAAGGTAGAAGAGAGTACTTCCCACAACCAGTTTACTCCGACATTACTATGGTACATTGGTTGCAATATAATATGCTATTTATTTATTGGTACTAGGATTGAACCCAGGGCCATTGCACTGAGCCACATCCATGGCCATTTATTTATTTATTTATGGTATTGTGGATCAAACCTTGCACTTGTGAGGCAGGCATATGCCGCTGAGCTAAATCCCTGGCCCTAGCCCTTTTTATTTTTTATTTTGACAGAGGGTCTCACCAAACAGCTAAAAGGCCGGGCCTGTGTTCAAATTTGGCAATCCTCTTGCCTCAGGCTCCCAGAGGACTGGGATTGGAGGTGTGTGTCACGACACCCAGTTTAATTTAGTCTTTAAACTAAATTGCCCTGCCCCTAGAGTGTATTTTTCTTTGGTATAATTCAGTATGTGAAGAATTCACTCTGAATGCAGTATGTTGTCATTCCAATGTGGATTCGACCCATGGGAGTTTAACAGCTGAAGTTATTAAACATTTATCAGCTCCAGTTGGTGATGACCTTGGGCAGGAGGCTTGGCTGAAGCCTACAAACCCCCCAGCTCTGAGTTCTGCAGTGCCCCAGCCTCTTCCATCTCCTGCCACTTGAACCCATCTTTCTAATTCCCAAATGCCTCTTAGACCCATGCCTTCCTGCTTACAGAGATGGAAACCAGTCTCTGAAACCGGATCCCAGCTGGTCCTGAACTCCAGGGGAGGAGGGGGACAGCATAGTTGTTGTACAAGCAGGAGGGCTGGTGGTCTCTGCTTCTCATACTCTGGGCACCCTAGATGCCTCTTTGTCCAGCTGGCAAATATCACCTCCTACTTTGGAGGTTCACAATTTCCACCCACTACCCCACACTCCGGCTATGAGTGTTTATTTTTAACATTAACAGAGAAAAGTGGGCTGCAGCAATTTCACATCTTAGAAACAAGTCTGGGGGCGGGGACCAAGTCCTCTTCACAGGGGGCCACACGGAGAGCTATACAGGTTGGGAACACCATGAGTAGAGCTCTTTGTGGCATAAGATAGTGATCCAGCTGCAAGTGAGGGACCAGTACAGGGGACTGCAGAAAGGGCTCTAGGTGCCCCTGGTCCCCAGAACACATGGCCCTACTGTGAAATGAGACCTGTACACTGGGGCGGGGTCGACTACTAAAGCCCAGGACTGTGTTACAGATGGTGGGAGTTGCCGGATGAGGGACAGACAAGCCTGGTTTAAGGAAAGGATGAAAGAGTAAAGCCAAGTATTTTACATGCTAATGAATACTCCCAATTTACAGGCTAATGGGAGTGGCTAAAGACTCCAGGAGCCCACTGTATTATGGGAGTCCTGCAGAATTTGACACAGCCCATCCACTCTTGTGGCAAGCTCTCTCCTTTGGAAAGGTACATTTTCAAATAACCCCCCTCTTTGAGTCATCTTGGCTTTCTCAAATGACAGTGTAATGTTATAAGGTACTGAAAGTGCAGGTCAGGATGTGAACCCTTCCCGCTGCCCCATGCCAAAGCGAAGCAAGTGGCTGGTTGTGATCCTCAAGGAGCCTGGTGCATTATGTACGGGTGTCCACTAACCTTTCAGGCCAGGCTCTGTGTCCCCATCCTGGTCTTGGAGCAGGGCGTAGTCCTCAGCATGATCTTCCATTGTGTCAAACTCCTGGCGGGGCTCAGCCATCCTACTTAGAGGATCACCTGGGAAAAGAAGGTGGGAGGGTGAGGGATAGGTCGGACGCCAAAGGACTGAACTTCCCCAGAATATAGGGGAGGGATGGGGTATGGAGAAACAGTCACCTCTCCCAAGTCATGGTCTTCCCACTTCCCTGTGCAACAGGCAGAGACGCTCTGTATCCCTGCCAAAGTGGTGTGATGACATTTCTGTGTAATGACTTGCAATTCACTGATGGCGTATCATTGTATCGTATTCAAAACAACCAGGCAAGACAAGTTTGGCAAGCCTGACTTCTACTCTACTTCACTAAAAAGTAAATGCTGCTGATTACCAGTGTTTTCCCTTGTAGAATTGCGGATAGAGCCTGGGGTCTCACATCCGCTAACCAAGTAAGAGCTCTGCCCTGGAACTACCCCAGCTCTCTGCATGTTTTCCCCCAGTACTTCACGGTGCCTTAGTGAATGGGCCACTGCCACTTGTCACTCACAAGTTCTTGGGGGCTCTGGGGCTCTGCTACAGAGAAGATTGTGGGGCTCCAACACCAGGATTGACACAGTGGCTGCGTCACTGGAGGTTGCCAGTGGAGGTCTCCGGGGAGGCTCATTTTCCCAGGCTCCTCTTTATCAGACAGATGAGGCCCAAGTGGAAAACCTCTCAATGAACCCGTGAAAAGAAGCTGGTGCAGCCTAAAACACTCCAGAAGAGATGGCTGCTCTGCTCCTCGGGCTTATGGCTCCTCAGGAGGACAGGTTGCCCCAATCTAGGGGTTGCTACATGAGGGACACGATCAAAGTAGCCCAGGAGGCATGAGAAAGCAGGGACCCGGAACGGGACAGCTGGCCGCACACTGCTCCTTGTGGAAGCCCCAAAGCCTGTCTGCCAAGGATGCCCTGAAAGGACAGGCTTGCTGCTGATGAAAGTTTCCTTCTCTTGGCTACCTTGTCCTGCCAGCCTCAGCCCATGTATACACGTCCCCATCCATCAGCTTATTCCTGTGCAGAGCAGGAAAAAGCAAAAAGGTACCACAAGTCAGGGCAGCACCACATGGCCCTTAGCACTAACCCTTAGTGGCCTTTGTCACCTCCGGAACATCTAAACAGTTCTTAATGAACAAAGCAGGATAGAGTCAAAGCAGGCTTTGTGCAAAGCAAACCGTCTTCCTTTTTGACGTGGGTCATGTTGTCACAGGCGCCCGTCACCCCAGCTCAGTCTGGATTAGAGGCTAGGGCTCGCAGTGCCCCTCCTGCATCCATCTGTACATCCACCAAGTCAGGACAAAGCGGGTAATGTGTGATGTGTGCTAGCTGCTCTGCAGTGGGCTGAGCAGAGTCTGGAAATGGGGATGAAGAACTCACAGAGAATCTGGCAGCAAAGGCAGGATCAAATGGATGAATAAGGAGAGACTGCTGGCAGGGAGGTGAGGGCTCTGGTCCAGGCACACAGTTCAAAGGCTGGAGCCAGAGTGTAGGCAGAGGGGAAGGAAGGAAGGGACAGACCTAAGAGGTGTCTCAGAGAACATATTAGGCTGGGCTTCCACTTGGGTTGGGGCCAGGCAGAGAGATTAAGATCTAAAAGTATGCTGAGTATGGTGCGGCATGCCTATAATCCCAGCAGTCTGAAAGGCTGAGGCAAGAGGATCATATATTTGAGCCCAGCATGGGCAATTTAGCGACTTATCCCTGTCTCAAAATAGAAAGTAAAAACGGGCTGGAGATGCAGCTTATAGTGGGACGGCCCTGGTTCACCCCCTAAAACCCTCACCCCCACGATCCATAAATACACTAGAAGTACTTAGGTGGCTGGGAAAATCGGGCTGGGCTACAGAGTCAAAGAGAACCTATAGGAGGAAAGGAGCTGGAAAACAAGGGTGGGTTCTGGTTTTTTTGTTTTTTTGGTTTTTTGAGACAGGGTCTCACTTATGCAGTGGGAATGACCTGGAACTCACTGTGTAGCCCAGGCTGGTCTTAAACTCATAGTGATCCTCCTGCCTCAGCCTCCCAAGTGCTGGGATTACAGGCGTGCACCATGCCCGGCTGGGTGGGTTCTGTTTTAAAAAGATCTTTGCTTGAAAGAACACCCTGCCACTGCATTTACCTAACTGGTGATTCATTTCACTTAATAAGCTCTAAAAATATATATTCTACTATTCCTCTTGACTTTCATTATAATTTAAAAATTTTTATGAGTCTTTATTTTCATGGATTGTTCAACAGAGATATAGTCTACTTCAGCTTCAAATAATGGGTCAGCAAATATTTCCTGTCAAGGGCCAGACAGAAAATATCATAAGTTCCACAGCCTGTTTTCTAGCGACCCCTTTATCACCCAAGCACTACACTCACTGCCCCTTTGGGGCTGGAGAGTCCGAAGGACTCACCGGATGCTGAATGAATTATAGGGGTCAGTGCAGAAATTAAATCACCCTCAAATACAGCTGCCATTCACTACATGGAATACACAAACTGCCTGACTCTCAAAGGCCAGTATTTTCCTTTAGGAGAAAAGCACGCAATGCATAGGAGAAAGTCTCTAAGCGGGAGGTTCACCACTGCCCGGCCCTGGGAGGACAAACGCCTTTAGGTTTCCTGCGCCTCCTTCCACACTTGCCCCAGCTGGTCCAGGACAGCTGCCCAGTGCTGATGTTTTGGAACCTACCTTCCAGGTTAAGAAAGATTAGCCTCATTCTGGAGCATCCCTGAGGTCAGCCTGCCACAGAAAGGAAGCAAAATCCAGAAAGAAGAGGTGCCCAGAGCACAAATGGAAGTGACTCTTCTTCCCTGCCTCAGGACAATGATGGCGGCGTCTGAGCAAGCTGGCGGGGTGGGGTGAGGTGGGGTGTTGCTGGTTGTGGATACTACAGGAGCCCCTCGGCCTGGTAACAGGAGGCCCTGGTGTTTGTTCCCTGTGGGCACATGGGCACCTCACTGAGCTCACAACAACCCCCTGAGGTAGGCATCTTTGTCATCATCCGGGAAGTTAGGTCATGAAGCCAGTAGGAGGCAGGGCCCAAATGCAAAGCCTGTGTCCTGAACAGCAGTGACGATAAGTCCACTGTTTCACCCTGGACCATAAAACAATCTTCAACTTTCTGCCTAAGACGTTAGGGCCGGTGACTGGGATGTGCAAGAAGAAATTGTCACTTCCCTCAACCTTTAGGTTCTTCATTCCCAAAATGTCACTTCATGACCCTTGAGCTGCCTTCTTACCCTGACATTTTATCCTACACAGGCCCATGTAGCCTGTGTCCTCAGCTCAGGAGCCTAGGAGGCCAGGGATGGGATAGCAGGAGGTCTCTAGCCCAGGCTGGGGTGAGGGGCAGGGGACCCTAGTATCCAACCAAAGGCCTGCACTTTGGGCACAGCCTCTTGCCTTAGCACCAGGCTCTTGCTGCCCTTCTTCTGGAATACACAGGCAGGATGAGTTCTCTGGAAGAATGGACAAAGGACAGAGCCAACTGACAGGTGGTACAACTGCACCATTTCAGGTCTGAGACACTCGCAAAGACGGTGCTCTGGAACACCTAAATAAGCACGGCCCTGAGGGAGCACCCAGCCTGGGCCAGACGTGTCATCATGCCACAGACGCCTGTAATCTCAGCAAGATGCACGGACAGGAAAATAAACACACCCAAACAGTTTTCCTCACTCTCTTTCCCATTTCCTACTTTGCTTACCTTTCCCAATCTCTGTCTCTGACTCTCCTACCTCTGTGACTCTCTCCTTGTCTCTCCCCACCCCTCCCCTTGGGAGATAAGGAAGAAATTTTAGGGGAGGCATAAAAATCGGGTTTAAACCTGGAAAATAAAACAGGCCATTTTTTAGGAACCCTTGGAAAAGGATGTTTTCCTGATGAGAAAATGAGGACTAGAGGGTGCTGGATTCTGTCTTTGTCGTTTTATAGAGAAACTGAAGCCTCCGGAGGGGAAAGACTTGCTAAGGCGGCTTCAGGCTCACAGGTCCCCAGCCCCCTGCAAGCCTTGCTGGCTTTGGGGCCGAGGAAGAGAGAAGGGGTCTGTAGGTTGAGAGCAAGGGACACAACGCGGGGCATGCACTGGAGACAGGATAAGGGGTAAAGAGTAGGAGGCAAGGGGCAGGAGAGGACCCGCATGTGTTACCTTGGAGCCAGTCACAGCCGCTGTTACTCAGAGTCTTTAAACTTTCTATGATTGAAGCAAAATTCATGTTGCATAAAGTGAACCATTTAAAAGTGAACCATTAATAATACATAATGTTATTCAACCATCACCTCTAATTCCAAAACACTTTTATCATCCCCAGAAGAAATTCTGTATCCACAAAGCAGCCCTCTCCCTACTCCCTGCAAGCCCTCAGCTCCTCTCTGGCTCTGCATTTGCCTCTTCTGAACACACAGGACGAATAAGTGGTGAATAAATGGGTCACTGGGGTCTTTCACGGAGCATCATGTTGTCCAGATTCATCCAGGTGACAAACAGGTCACTGGTTCAAACCCTGAGTGACATTAGGCTGCATGGATTTGCCACATTTGTTTTTCCATGATCCGTAATCCACTGATCACACCCGTAGTCATCGGGGAACAAGATAGTCCGCAGCTTTTTGTTGTGACTCTTTTCCGAGAAGATCAAAGGTGGGTGTGAGTGTGGAGCGGTGGGCCGGTGGGGAGGAGACGGGTAGAGGGCCAGCCAGCCTTCACTCCGTCCTGTGGTGCCCTCCAGGTCCATGAGGCATAGGGGTGTGCAGGTGAGACCCTAGGTCCTCTCTGCTCTCAAGAACAGGGTCTTCCTAGGCTAGAGGATGAGCAAACCTCTGTCCAGTGGAACTCATGATTCCTGGTTATCTCAGGCCATTCCTGAGGTGTCTGGATCCATACCCACGATGACGGAACCCCGGGCTCCTGGTCTACAGAACAGTGGCCTCTGAGCACCCCTGGGACCCTGCTTGCTGTCTGGAACGCCTGCCAGTTCCTGACCACCTTCCCATGACAGCAGGCAAATGGGAATATTACAGGTACCCTGCCCAAGGCAATCTGGGACTTGACTTTGATT